AAAAAAAAAAAAAAAAAAGGCAAGCCAATCACAAAAACAACCCCCCAAAAAGCACACTATCACAGCAGCTTTCCTCTGTGTTAGAGATCATTGCCTCCTGGGGGCTTCAACAGAGCCATCTTGTGCCTGAAGCCTGCCAGTGAAACCAGAGCTCCGGGGCTTTGCCCTGCTGCTTCGTAATCACTTTAAATGGACGTGGATCAGCAGAGACTCAGCACTTCTTCGGCTTCTCGTTGGAGAGGAATGAAAAATCATCTCCGAATAAGTGCAAAGAAAGCAGGGTGAGAAAGGCCTAAGACTTCTTATATACTTCACCGTACGCTCGTGTATGAGTAGGACAATGGATGTTGCTTGTGTGTACAGATGAAGCTGGACTTCACCTGCAGCTGAACTTCATCTCCTTCCATGTCCCCCGCTCGCTCTGCAGCCTCGTTGAGTGAAACCCAGCTCAGGGAGGCCAGCTTGGTGGTTTACAAATAAGAAAACCAGCACAAACTTTCTTCTGAGCATAAGGAGCTGAAAGGAGAGGCTGCCGAATGCGCCGTGCTGGCGGGCAGCGGGGCAGAGTGGCTGCGAGTGCCGAGACTTGGATCTTGCAAAAGGGTCTGCAGGAACTGGAATGGGGAGGAGAAGCTGGACTGCTCCTAGCTCCTTTAAGCCCATTAAAACTGCAGCACTTATATTCATTCCCACGAGATCCCCCATGAGGGCAGATGCTTCGGGAGAGATGGTGCAGCTGCAGAGTGTATGGAGAAACTCTTGCCTGCTAGGAGAAGCACAGAGGTCAGCATTTTTCTGGCTCAAGTCAAGAGTCCTTGGAGCCTTGCAGGAGGGAGTTACAACCTCCTCTGAGCGGTGGAGGGACCAGGACAAGTCGTGGTAGACCAGATCAAACATTTGCTTGTGTTAAATCAGCTGTGGGGGAGTGCAACAGCATGGGAAAGGAGGATGGCCACAATATAAATCAGGGTCTCATGGGGTCCTCTGTGTTGGGAGAGCAGCATGTAGAAGGCCCCACGACCCATGTGTCTGGGTCGTTTCTCTCCTTTTGTGGGGCAGGGTTCTTCCATTTTCTGACTTGGCCTTGAATGGTTCCTTCACCCTTTGGAGCTGCAGGATGAAAGGTGTGAGCTGGAGCTAGTCCATGCTGGTGGCTGCCTATGTCCCCTCCTACTCCTTGCTTCCAAACATGGGGCTTATTCTGTAATAGTGGCACAAGGAGCAATTTAGTAGTAGTTGTGCAGGTAGTACTAGTTGTGAGCACTGGTTTGGTTTTAACTTGCAGTTTCTCTATGTTAAGATCACAAGTTTAGAAACAGAGTTACTTGAAGTGCAGAAGAGCAAAACTGAGATGAGTGGGGAAGAGCAGGCATCATCTGGAGCACAAGAGATGCAAGAGGTAAGAGGTTTTCCTTGGGAAATAAATTGCTTTGTTTAGAAACGTGTTAAATGAGCTTTTCCTGTGAATGCTCTTTGTCACCATCTTCCGTGAATGTGTAGCCCATCAGCTCATGCAAGACAGATGGTTGTCTTTGGAGGAAAGCAGCTAACATGCCAATATTATGTCCCTGATAACTCATCTCTCTTAGGAGATTGTCTTGCCTTCGGCACTGTGGAGCTTGTTGACTCCCCGGTGAGGGTGAAGGGTTGACCTGTAAAGGTGCTTGACTCTCGTTTGGGGTCTAGTGAAAGCCAGGTGGTGCGTAGGTACTTTACAAGGCTGTTTCCCAGCTGGTTTTGGGCTGACTTTGCTGTCAATTTGTTACTTGCCAGCCAGCCAATTGGATCTGTCGGGTGTATAAGCCAGATAGAGATTATTACATGTGGGAGATGACCTTCCCAAGGTATCCTGGGTCAGGTGGATGCTCCAGACCTTCAGAGATGTCCAGCCACACCTGGGTATAAGGTGTGGGAATCCTGCTGCAATTTTTGAGAACCATTTTTCCTATCCTTGTTTTCTAGATGTTTTCAATTTGTTTCCTCTTTTGCTAGAGTAAATAATGCTGTAGAAGTGATTCTTAATTTTGCTTGTTCTAGATGCTGGAAAGCTGTCAGGAAACGATAGAAAAGTTGGGAAGTCAACTGGGAGAGCGGAGAGAGCGTAGAAAGCAACTTGCATCAGAGCTTGAACTGTTACGAGAAGATCTGAAGGCTGAGCAGAAGGTACTGGGCAGCCAGGTATGTAAGGTCCTGCAGTGGCACTCCCTGCAGGAGACATTTGCCTTTGTCACTCCATAAAATGTTCCCAGTTGCCCCCCAGGTGTATTGCTTGACTTCTATTGATGCATTTCTCTAGTCCAGCCAGTTTCAAAGCTTCTTTGTAGATGGTTTTAAATCCATCTGCTTTAACGGAACTGTCTCTAACTCAGTAATTTATTTTTCCTTTTGGTGAATCTAATAAAAAAACAGTAATTCAAAGTTTGTAGCCAAAGTCGCCTTCTCTGGAGGGCAGAATGGAAGTTTTCACACTTAGGTATTTATTGCAGAGTTGTTTGTGATCATAAGGTTCATCATCATGAGCCTTCATCTCTCCATGTCACAACGTGGTAGGGTACTTGTAGATTTGAGCCAAGACCATCACGGCTAATTCTGAGTCTTTAACACAGATCCCCTTTAATATCGATTGTAATCTTTCTTAACCAGAATACGGCAGGAAAAGAAGTCGGAACACCTAAGAGTTGGAGAAGTCTATATGAGCAGCTTGCTGGGATCCTGGTGCTGCTTTTTGTTACGAGCCCTAAGGACCTCAGGACACTTTAATTGAAGTAATTAACTGCTATGTAGACTTCTGGCCGGTTTATCTCTGCTGGGAGAGTTGTTGGTGCTCTCATCTTCCAGTTGGGCTGTAGAAGAGAGAGAGCATGTGATGCCAGCAAAATTGCACAAGGGCTGGTGCAGACATAGGCAGGACAGGGACTGAAAATTAGGCAAAAAATTTAGGAGAGCTGCAGATCTGTGGCCTGGATCAGGCAGACAAGGGGGACCTGAGGGAGGCTGGCACAGGAGGGGGTTACATCTATTACAAACCCCTTTTTTTAGCACTCTGAAAGGCCTTAAGCCAGCTCTGAGTTGTATCATTTCCTTGAATGTAAGTAAAACCAAAGTCCTGAACTGCTGGTGCAACTGCGTGTACACAAGACTCTTACTGGAGGAACAGTGGCATCTAGAGGACGGGACTTTCGTAGTGCTGTTAGGCAATAAATTCACATTGTAAAAGCTCAGGATGCAGACCAAGCCTTGCTGAAGAGCAGTTTAGGAAGAGGCTAGGTCAGTCTATGAATACACAAAAAAGGAATGACCTGATTTGGGGCAATGATGAGGAAAATGGGAAGAGTCCCTCTTTAATCTTTGCATTCCAATAATTCAATCTACTTGTAATCCAGAGACCTTTTAATCAAAATCATCCCTCCCTGTAAGATTGGTTGTAATTCAGCCACTGGTTGGCCGGTGGTTTTCCCTAAGGAGGGGATTGTTTTTCCACCGAAGGGATCACGAGATGAAATCCAGTGGCCTGCATTAGACTGTAACAGTCTTTAAAATAGAAGACTCTGCACGTGTTTGGTGGGATTCCTGACTTCACAAATGCGTTCATTCCCTTTTGATAGAGCAGCTGTACTGGGACAAATCGTTTACCAACAGAGTGCTGGAAATCAGCTCGACATGAAATCATCGGGTTCTCAGGGGTGATGTACACCTGGAGGTCAAGATTTGAGGTTGTTCAGTGTTGTGTTTGTCAGGAGGTCCAGCGCGTAGAAAGGGCGAGTAAATTCGACCATATTTTTGTTCTTGTAGATTTTAATGATGTGCTATGAACTGATGCTATGCAAAGAGCTCTTCGCATTTGTTTGGAACTCTCTTCTTGTTTTTAGGACATTTTTGTACATTTGAGAGGAGAAAGCTTGTCCTGAGCTTGTAGTTAGGGGTGTATTACATCTGCTAACTCCTGTGGTTTCCTCACCAGGGGTTGCCTGACTCCAAATCAGAGTTTACAAGCCATTGTAATAACTTCCTGAGTCTCCAAAGAACATCAGCAAGCAGGGATCTCATTAATGTATCCTGTTACAAAAAGATAACAGTTAGATACAGAGGTGAGAAATGTAAAGAAATCCCTGTTGTTCTGGTGTCTGATGCAGACAGAAGCTGCCAGAATATATTACTCAAGTGTAAATAAATTCATCTTGGTGTAGATAAGACCTGGAATTGAAGTATTAGTACTAGCATACACTCAGGAGGAGCTATTGATTAAAAAGGTTGAGGAATCAAAGTCATCGCTACCATCTAGTGGGCTTAATAGCATTTTTCTTTGAAGGATATGGTTTCACCACTGCTTAGCAGGAGATATTAGACTAGACAGATTCTGGTTCTGATCCAGTCTGGGAGTTCCTGTGACCTTATGCGCTCCTCATGCCTTCCTTTTCCACCCTGTTTATTTTCTTGGCATCTTCTCTCCATGTCTTAGGTGATGTTGAAAGTGGAGAGCAGAAAGTTGTTTTGGGCTGACTTGGCTGGAGAACACTCTCTGTGTGAGACTGCTGAATACATACCTAGTACTCTTCCCGTTTTTCCAAGAGTTGCTAATTTTGTAAAGAAATAGGACGCATGATATAAAGTCCTGAGAACTACAGATGGGCAACAGAAGGATGAAATCAAATAAAGAAATGTGATTTGATGATAGTTTACACACAGCTACTTCCCATGCAGAAAACAAGGATTTGCACGTGTCTCTTCAAGGGTGAAGAACTACAATAATTTAGCTACGGAACCACAAGCCATGTCTTGATGGAGTCCACAGGTTGCCTTGTACTGCTCAAAAGGTTTCCGTGAGACCAAAGAAAATCAAAGTCGTGGTGTTTTCTGACCTTACAGGTCTCTGAGCTCCCAGAAGAAAGAGAAAAGATTAATAAACTTGAGCAGAAACATGAAGATCTATGTACAGATGAAAAGACATATGAAGAACAGATGGCTAAAGTAGTATTTTTGGAAGAACAGATCAAAAACTTGAGGGATGAACAAGAACTGCTCTGGTAAACCTTAACAAGGCCTGTGGTACTTTCTGCTCCTTATCTTTCCTGACTGATTTTTTTTTTTAATCTTTTAAAAATCCCTGTAGTGCTGCTGTTGGCAAAAATAGGCACAGCAGCTTTGTGTCTTCCTTATCGGGAAATCGTCTCTCTGTAGAGATTTTGGTGAATAAGCATTTCCCTTAGTGATGCCGTGATTAGTCAGGACCATGCCTTTTTTTCCTTTTTTTTTTTTTTTTTTTTTCATGCTGCTATTCTAGATTCTGAAGAACATAAGTGAGAGTTGTCCTTAGGGAGGAGGCTTCTTCTCTTGGAGTGAGGTAGTATTTGGACTAACATGGTCCCAAAGAGCTCCCATTGTGGGCTAGGGCTCCTTGGGGAGCTGGTGCAGCAGCTGATGATATACATCCTGCTGTGGGTTTTGGTTGTCCTTGAAGGCCAGATGTCAGCAGGCAGCAAGGTTGTAATTTAAACCTCTTACAGGTCTCCCTGACTCCTGCCTTTTTACAAAAATTCAATACAAATTTGGAGTTGGAGCATCCATGCTCAGGTTCACATTAGTAAGGAAAAGCTTGGATTACATCCAGCGTAAGTTAGTCAGCTCAGTTATCTGGGTAACAAGGTACTGAGATAAAATAAAACCAGGGTAAGACAGGTAGGTTAGCTTATAAGGACATATACTTTGGATTGAGATAAGTCAGACAGCTTGGTGAATGAGCGGGAGACCTGAGCCCATACTTCCATACGGTGAGTGCTTCTGTGCCGCTTGTGAGCGCAGACCAGCGCCCGTGGCCCCAGGCGAGCGTTTCCTTGGCCAGCGGTTAACCTGCTCGTGAATGACTGAGAGCTGAACCTTTGGACACACGTTTTTTTGTGGGTCAGTGTCCAGAGGAGACTGACCCTTGCCCAGAACTGCCAGAACCAGGATTAAATCCCCTTTGGGGCCTCCCGAGATACTTGAGTTGTTGCCGTGAGTGTTCCTCTGGACTCTTGTATCCCGAGTTTTTCCCCTTCAGCGGGTGGTTTCTCTTGGATGTGTATAGTTATCTCTCTCCTTTACTATTTCTCCTTCGAGTTCTGAATTACTAGAAAGCAACAAGAAGAGGGAGGAGCTAGAAAAGCAGCTAAAAGACAGCAATGAAGAAAAACGGTTGTTACTGGAAGAAATTGCCCAGCTAAAACAAGATCTCCTGACTACCCGGGAGCAGGACGGCAGCATGCTTGAAGAAACTTGGAGGATGAATCAAGGCATGGTGCGTAGAGAGAACAGGTTTCTCGTGTCTCAGAGCTCTGCAGTCAGTTTAGATGGGAGCGTTAAACAGGTATGGGCAGCTTTGCCATCTGCACCGTACTTTTTTTTTCAGTAGTTTAGTGGCAAAACCTAATTAAAGTGGACTGGAAGGCAGTCCTGTAGTGTTAGCACGCAGAGGGGAGATGAGGTTGACTGATTTCCATGGGGAAAATGTTTGGAAATTATGAATGTCATAATTTCCTTCTGTTGTGTTTTTGGATGTAGTGGGAACTTGGACAAACCGATTGGCCCCCTTAGTGCACATGAAAGAAATAAGTTATACAGTCCTTAAATGATGTTTTAGAGCTTTTGGAGCTCTTTCTCAGCTCCTTTTTGGAGTATGAGAAATAGACCTGGCTTGCTATTCCCACAAGTCTTGCTCCTGTGTCCCCAGGACAGGGCGTCTGAGGAGGAGCAAGGATTACATGAAGAATTTGGAAGAGAGAGGACAGGGTGGCCTGTAGGCAGGTGTGGGAGTAGAAAGGGGAGGATCAGTTGTGCTGATACCAAGAAGCAGCAAATCTGTACAGTTAGAGCAGACCAAAGCAAGATACAGGGTGTAAAGGGGATGCTGAAAAGGATCCCGATAGAAGCAGGTGGGGAAAAACCCCACAAAACCTAACTGATCTTGAGGACAACTGAGATCCCACAGTGCTGGATCAAGACTTCCCAGCTTGGGAATTTATCTGGGGATTTATCTGAGAAGGGAAGCTTGGTCTTCACTAGATTTCATCTGGTCCCGAGAGCAGAGGGCGAAGATGCAAAGCGGGAATGCAGATCGACAGATCGCTGAAAGCAATGCTGGGAAGAAGGGATTTGGTGTGCACAGGCTAAAAGTCCTTCCCATGCTTGGTGCAAGGCACTTGCAAGAAGATGGGTGAACCCAAGAGCTCAGTTATCTTCTGAAAGCCATCATAGACCGTCGGTGACCACCTCATGGTGTCCAGGCTGCTGCTGCACCGTGCCAGCGTGTCTGTTCCTCTACTGCTGCCAGGACTTGCTTTGTTCCTGCTGCCTCTGGGAGCCGCGGCTGGATGTGCTGCTCCTGCTTAGTTGCCTTAGTGAGACTCTGGCACAAGAGTTAAGAGCAACCCAGGTGGTTTTGCTTTTGTTTGACAGGTTTTAACAGGGATTTATTCCCTCATCCGGGTTATTGCATCTTCTCCCTCAGCCTCAGGAGTTGTATCAGCTTCTCTGAGGGGATGGACAGCGTAGGGAGCAGGACATAGTGTGGGGACAGAAGAAATGCTTGCCTGGCTTTTTACCCATCTTCCTATTTAAATGCTTTTAAATCCTACGGGTATCCCTCTACCTTTCTTATTTACCAGTCTTTATCTTTCCTTGAAGTTAACTTCCGTGGAACTTTTCTCATTTTGCTGTTCCTGCAGAGTCTGTCTGATGAGAGATTCCAGCAGCAGGAGGAAAAATTGCAGCAACTGCGGCAGGACTTGCGTCGCGTTCAGAACTTGTGCAGCTCAGCCGAGAGGGAGCTTAGATACGAAAGGGAGAAGAACGTCGACTTACAAAAGCAAAATCTCTTGCTCCAACAGGAATGCACCAAGGTAGGAACAGAGCAGGGAGAACTGCTTAAAGAGAGCATCACATCATTTTACAAGCTATGGGAGGTTTGAGGTGCTGATTTTAGCAGACTGGGCCTCGTTTGCCCTTGACCGTACAGCACCCAGGGCTTTCAAGCGTGCTCTGTCTGAGCTTCGTGGAAATTGCACTGCCTCCAAATAAAACTTTGTGTGTGCTCTACTTGCTCCCTGTATTTCTCTTTGATTGTTGTTCACTCTCTAGTAATCCTGTTGACTCTTTCCTAATCAGGACATTTCAGATGATATCTGTTGAAGTGCAAACTTGATGTTTTTCTTCTTTTGAAATTCAGGTCAAAGCTGAGCTGAAGCAAGCCCGGGCAAAACTCTCGGACGCAACTGAAACATGCTCCTCTCTCTCAGCACAGTGGGAAAAAAGCCAGCAGAAGGTCAAAGAACTCGAACAAGAGCTCTTGAAGTGCTCCCAGGCTGATAAACTGCAGAGCAGTCTGCAAGAGAAACTTGCGCAGGAGAAATCTAAAGTATGCGAAGCACAAAAAAAGGTAACTCATCAGCGTGAACTAAGTTAACAGGAGGGATGTTTTTAGCAGTTTTGTGCAGCTGCAGTTCAGGAACAAGAAGCACTGGCAGCTCATGAATTGATTCCCTGAAGTTCGTTTTGCTAGTCCGTTTTGCAATCACTTGGCTAAATAGTTTAGGAAAAATGTCTGTTGTTAGTGGGAGCAAAATCAAGGCAATAGAAGCCAAATCTGATGGCTCAACTCCTTTCTCTAAAGCTCATTATCTCTGAAAATACTGGTAGTAGGGCTGGCAAGCGCAGGGAGCCCAGATCATGTTCCTGCCAAGGAAATTTGCTGCTGTTTGCTATCAGGTAAACTGCAAAAGCTTGTGTTTTCCATTCTGCCGTGTTCCTGCACTAATCGTTGGATTTGGTTTTGAAGTGTGCAGGATCAATTTAGGTGCAAAAAGAATTGTTGCTAACTCATGACATAGTATCTGATCCAAAAGCTGGGAGCCGTTGGAAAGGTTTTACTTTTAATGGGCTTTGACACAGACATGCAGAAGTGTTTTTGAGTAGAAGCAAGCAAATCTTTCATTCCCATGACTCAGATACTGAGGGATCCAAGGGAATCCCTTGGATTCAGTTAACTGGCCTATAAATTCAGAAAACTTAATCTGTGTCCACTTTTAATCCGAGATTTCAAAACTCCAGCAAAAGCTAAAAGATTCACAACACCAACTCCTGCTGGCAGAGGCCCGTGTTTCAGACAAGAAACTCCTAGAGGAGGAATTAAAGGAGGCCCGAGAAAATGAAGCTCGTGTGCAGCAAGAACTTCACGAGGAGCAGCTGAAAAGGTACCCAGAGCTGCGTAAGGCCAGTGCTGCGTGCGGAGGGGAGGTGTGTGCCAGCAAACGCTGCTGTGCCAGCCTGCAGCTACCTCCTGCAGCTCCGTGGCTGGCCCGAGGTGGGCTCAAGGAGTCACTGCACCACTGGTTTTACCTCCTGTCTCTCCTTTTGACCTGCCAGAGTCCCTGGCAGAGCTCCACAGGATTCCCTCTTTGAGATTTAAAAGATTTTTGGAGACTTCAGCTGCCTCGGAAAGTGCGTGGTCCCTCCTGCCAGCCCAGTGATTTGGTTTACCAAAAGATGCCGGCAGTCCCCTGTCTTGTGCAGCTGGGATGATGATCCCAGATACATCACGCACCCTTTCGTGTGCCGCTGGGACATGGGACAACCAGGCTGTACTGATTTCTTTCTATCCTCGATGTCGCCCAGGGCAGGTGCAGAGCAGTGTGGTGATGTTTTTAGATCCCCAGCCAGCCTTGAATTCACGGTGGCACACTGTGGGCTGGCTTCCACATCAGCGTCTCACTGTCACACCAACATGCTTTTAGGAAGCTCCTGGAGCAGCAGGTGGAGGAACTGCGGCAGCAGCTCCGGCATTCGCGGGAGACGGAGGCGTCGCTGGCCAAGATGCACGTGGAGCTGCAGGCCAAGACTCTGCATGTCCTAGAAGATGAAAGGAAAACTGACTCGAGCGAGGTGAGCTGCAGCATGGATGGGTCCCCATCACCCAAGGGATGGACTCCAGAGCAGACCACTGAGCTCTAGGGGGAAATGGGACCCTCACAGTGTGAAATGTGTACCTGGGAACTGCTGAAATAGGGTCAAATCCAGCCAGGTGCCGAGTCCTTGCAGATCCCACTGATTTAAACAGGAGCTGGAGGAAAAGCACCGTCCCATCTCGTGTAGGTTTCCTGGGGATGCAGCTCTGAGGGCAAAGAAGGAGGACTTGAAGAGAGGGGGGGGAAGAGGCCATTCCCTTTTCTTGCAGAGCTTTTTGCAGGAAAATTTTTGGCAGAGTCCGCTGCTGGGAGGATGCATCGCCTCCCTCTGCCCTGTTGAAGCCTACAACCCCCCCAGCAGGACAGAAATCCACACTCCCAGCTTTGGAGACCAGAGCAAAAGGAGGCAGAGGGACCCCTACAGCTGAGGGGACACACACACACACAAATAAGAAATAGATGTTTTCCAGCACCTCCAGTGTCAGAAGGAGAACCAGAAGCTTTCAGAGCAACTTTCACTGCTGAAGGAGGAAAACAAAGCCCTTTATGAGGAAGGAGTCCGTCTCCTGAACCAGAAGGACCTGTATGTCAGGTAATGACTGCAGCAGCAGGGGATGTGTAGACACAAAAAAAACCTGCCCAGGAATTGCCATTTATGTGCCGGCAGAGCCACTGGATTTGTCTGTTCTGTAGCCTTTCTTGGCTCTCCTGTTCAAGGCATTTAGCACTGAGAGATCTGCCTTAACCTGATGCCCCTGCGTGCAATTATGTTGTGCATCGCACGTCTGCTGTCGTGTTCTCCTTGGCAGCTGAAGGCAGCGCAGAAAACAATGGGTGCCTGGGGAGGGCTGTGGGTGCTGCTGTTTAGGGTCTGGCATTGGCAGAGATACTCCATGGAGCTACTTGTTTCTCCCCAGAGCACTTTTGATGTAATTCAAAGCACAGTAGCCTTTTTGTCCTGAGTTTTGAGCAAACATGGGCAAATGTCCCTTACATGGTAGAGATTTATCTTTTTTTTTTTTTTTTTTCTGACATTATTTTCCCTTCTATCCCAACTAGATAAACAAGAGCACTGCCTGAATGGGATGAGTTTGAGGGGAAGAGCAACGATCACAAGTCTCAGTAGACACAAATATTTAACCCCAGTGTTGCAGCTCTAAGAAGCGCTCACTGAAATAGCTCTTTCTGCAACCTGACCCTTGCTGTTCAGGATTCTTCTTTTTCGGCCTTTTCCCCCCATCCACAATACTTCCCCTTAACCACCCACATCCCCACCCAAATAAACAACTTACCCTTTCCCCGTTCCTTCCAATTTTCGGTGACTTTATAACCCTGCTTGGTATAAAGAGCTGAGAGGGGCGAGCACAAGGATTTGTAAAGCTGGGTATCAGTTCTGGCAATGCTTTGGGTCCCTTTCCCTCAATTTGGTTGACACTTAACCTTTGTAACAAACAAAACCCCAAACTGATCAGTGAAAAGCACAGTCCGGAGAGTCAGTGTCTCATTCTGCCTTTAGCTGTGCAGCCAGAAAGGAGCTGGGTAGATGGCTGAGGCTCCCAGTTCAGGCTTTGAAGAGCCTGAATAAATACAGGACATCTTCTACCTTGCTCTTGACCCAGAACACAAAAGAATTTCATAACCTGATGTTTGTGTCTCTGTCTCCTCAGGAAATACAACGAAATGCAGCTCCGCCACAAAAACAAGATGCGCAGGGCCAAGGAGACTTTTATCCATGAGGTGAAACAAAGGGATGGCAGAATTAAACAGCTTGAAAATGAGCTCAGCGAGTCAAAGCTCCAAGTGGAAAAGGTGAGAGAACACATCAAGGGCTTCTACCGCAAGGGAACGTGGGGAGCAGGCTACAGCATGTCTGTGGGGGCATCCCTTCTTCCCCCACAACAAATGCAGTTTAGGAAAAAAGGAAATGAGGTTTAGGAACAGCTGGTTGGCAGGCAGCGGGATTGCACTGTTAAACAGGAGAGCTCTGCCTGAGGTGCTGCTCCTGCCCTGTGAGCA